AAAAGCTGCTAAATTAGATAACAGTGTGGACAGTGAGAACACTGAGCAGTTTAAAGCAGTTTTGTCTTACTCTCTAATTACAATTTTATTTAAATATTTAGTCCCAAAGAAAATTCTTCTTAATATTTCACGCTTTTCCCTGATGCTACTCGGGTAAGGACTAATATATACTTAAATATAACCGCTTTCTCCACTAGGGGACATATCGGTTCAAGAATGGGGCGAGATATGTAGGGAACTACCAGCAGAACATGAAACATGGACAGGGAACCTTCTACTATCCCGATGGGTCCAAATATGAAGGTATAACAAATGTGCTTTACCTGAGTGTGTTGTGTACTTCTACCAATCAAAATTATTTTTATACAGTCCTGAGAAAGTTTTTAAAGCCAGCTGAAGCTCTGATGTTGGTTTCTGTAAGCAAAACTCTTACCACTGCCTCTTCTGACTGCCAGGGTCGTGGGTTGAGGATATGAGACAAGGTCACGGTGTCTACACCTACCCCAACAAAGACACCTATGATGGAGAGTGGCTGCAAAATTTGAGGTATGTCACAAGAACTGCAATCACAATTGCTATAACAACTTGTAATGCCAGAAGGAGTCAGGGTTTATATTAAGGCTGGCTTTATATTACACTTTACATGTTTAGATAATTTACTTTGATTCAACAGTATTAATACTCTAGAGAGCAGGACTTTTTTCATGTTGAAATGTAGTCCCAGAAATGCTGTCACATGTCTTTAACTTCTGAGATGTTTGAACTTTATTTTGCACCGACATGATTTTACTTTGAAGTTAGTTGTAACTAGACATGTTAAAAGCTACTTGAATCTTTGCTGTTTTTGTGATTTCCAGGCATGGACAGGGCATTTACCACTACCAAGAAACTGGCTCTAAGTTCAAGGGCACTTGGGTGAACGGCAAGATGGAGTCAGCTGGAGAGTACCTCCATACTAACCACAGATTCATTGGCAACTTTATCAACAACTATGTACGTTTTATTTTTATTACATTCTCACAAATTGGTCAGTGATCGATCAAAATACTGAATATGTTTTAATGTAGCCTGTGCATGGTGTGAAAAGTGACAATAGCCAAAATGATTATGATGATTTTTGTGATCACTGTTAAGTTATGTGTTATTTGTCATCACTATTCATTGTTTTTAGTGACAGAATTTTTTTTTATGACACCGTCCTCCTTATTCCCCTAAATTCAGAGCATCATTCACTCTTTTCATTGCACCTGTGTGTTTATTTATGTGAGGGGACGACATCATTTGTCCAGTGAGTTAACCATTTTCCTGGAGGCTTCATTAGTCACCGTGCTTTGTGGGGATTTTAGTTAGTCTTTTTAGTAAG